TGTAGGAATAATACATAAACATGACCCTTAACTTGGCTTCAGCGGACAACTATGCCCTCCACCTTTGAGTGTGCACAAGTAGGCACTTAAACTTGTATAAAACTGAACAAGTAAACACACGTGTCCTACATGGCATAATACACGTAGGACGCCACGTAGGATACAAAATTGCAATGTCGGGTGCCATGTAGGATGAATGTGTCTATTTGTTCAATTTTATACAAGTTTAAGTGTCTACTTGTGCACACCCAAAGTTAAAGGTCATAGTTGTCAACTGACGTCAAGTTAAGGGTCATGTTTATGTATTATGCCTATGATGTATCCAACTAACTAAACACTTAGATACATGAGCATCATACATGTACATCCATATGTATCATAGAAGTATCTAGACTTAAGTCATCAGCGTCCTCTTAAAGTTGTCCGCATAATTCACTTAGACACCTCAACTAAGACTAGTACCTATTGAACACTTTTACCAATTCAAAAATTGTTCCTATTAGGCATTTTTTATAATCAGCAAAATATATGAAGAGTGTGTGATACACTTGCGGTGACGTGGCAAAACGACTAATTAAAAAATAACATGTGGCACTGGGCCGTGAAAATTATAAAAAAAATAATTTTGTTTAAAATTATTTCAAACACTTTTTATATCTAATTTTTTAAAAAGAAAAAGAAAAAGATGAAAATGTCAACCTATTCTACCCAACCCCACCCCTATGCAACTCCCTTTCATCTTCATCTTCTTCCCAAAAACACATTCTTTCTCATATCACAAAACCTAATTCTTTTCAAAATAACTTGAAGATTAGCTTTTAAAAAAGATATATATACATTTTCATACTAAGAGTGAGAAGAAAGAAAATTTTGCCGGTGATTATTCATTTTTACATCAATGACAAAATAAAATTGATAGCTCAAAAATTAATTCTTTCAAAATTTTTTAATATCATTTTTGATAAATTTAATGGGTTTATATATGAATTTGAGTAAAAATCTTTATTCAAAAATTGTGATAAACAAATATCGTCTAACTTTTTTTATAGGTAAAAATCATTTATCTTCTTACTTCTTCTTCATATTTGTTCCTTATTTTTATGAGATTTGAAATAAATCATACGAACTTTCAAATCTGAATCTTCATAGTTGATTTTCATTTATCTTCATATTTGGAAGAAATAATATTCCTTTTTTTATAAAAAAGAAAGAAAAACAATGTTGGAGCTAAAATGAAGAAAGTTTTGCAAACTAAAGTATGAAGAAGATGATAGGTAGGGAGTGGGGTCCTTTTCTTTTTTGAAAGAAGTGTAAATGAAAGAAGAAAAATGTTTTTAAGTTAATTATAATGCCAAGTGTCAATAAAAGAAGAAAAAATGTAAAAAAAATTCAAAAAGACACTATTTTGAATCTTTTCATGCGCTTCAGGGAAGTGCAAAACACATTTTTTGCCATATCAACATTTTGTGTTTAATAGGTACATGTTTTGAACAATTTAGGTGTTCAATAGGTACAAGTCTTAGTTGAGGTGTCTAAGTAAATTATGCGGACAACTTTAAGGGGCGGTCGATGACTTAAGCCTTTATTTAATGTATTTGTTATATGTATCTATTTAGATGATCTAATTTTAATTTCATGTATCTTTTATATGTATCTAGTATTAATTTGATGTATCTGTCACACCCTTTTTTCACGCACGACGGAATAGGGATTTTCCAATTTTAATGACGATATTGAATTAGGGATTATTTTTATTTTTCAGAGTCGCCACTTGGAATTGAATTATGATGTTCCAAGTCACCTTTTTGTTTAATCCCTAATCAAAAGGAAATGACTCTTTATTTTGGTCTGCGAAAATAAAAGATCGGGTAAGAAATTCTGTTGACCGAGGGGAAGGTATTAGGCATGCCTCGAGTCCCGTGGTTCTAGGACGGTCGCTTTTATTGACTTATCTTAATATGTTTTTGGATAATTTGTGTCTAAGGCCATGATTCACTTATTTTTTAATTGTTGAATTTTTATTAGTCTTAAACCGGATGCATAACTGCATTCTCGATCTTGACATTTTAGAGACGTAGCTATCTTCTTTGCATCACACTTAATAACCTTATTTTTTATAAGTCACTATCTTAAATTAATAAAAACTGATTATATTAGTGGACAAGGTGCGTCACCGCATCCTTGAGTTTATTTTAATGTCTCAAAAAAGATGTGTAACCACATTCTTAATTGAAACAAATATTTTTTAATTTGTTTAAGTGTTCGATCTAACATTAAAAGAAAATATGTATTCCTAAAAAAATTAAAAAAAAAGTAAAATACTAAAGTTCTAGAATAAATTTTTTGATCATTTTTCATATGTTTTTATTTTTTGCAATTTCTTAAAGTTGATGTCAAAATTAAGTGTACACTTTCTAATCAAAGAAAACAATACCGAATTGCAAAAAAATAAATCTCATTTTTTGTTTGAAAAAATAAAACAACAATATTTTTTTTTTAGCCTAACTATACCTACTTTATCATTATTATCTAAATCAAGATAAGAACAATGTTATGACTCGTTCATTTTTAAGAGATCACAACTAACAAATAAAAAAAAATAAAAAAAAATAATCATTGATTAAAGTTACCTTCATTCATTAAATGAAGATATAACAACTAACAAATTAATCATTTTAATCAAATTAATGAATAAAATAAAATATAAGAAAACTTGTCATAAAATTACATCAAACTCCATAAATAAATTAAAGAGATAAGGAAAAGTTGAATACTGCAAAATCATGACCGAACCTCGATTAGAACACCCATCAAATTTTTATAGGTGGTTTGTGATGATATATATGTTGTGTTTAAATAAAATAGTAATGAAAAAGGAAGAAAATATGTGAATGTATTGATGAATTAAACTAAAAATAAAAATGGATTCCTCTTTTTTCTTTTCCTGCGTGAGTTTTCCTTCTTTTTTTTCCTTGTGCAGATTGTTGTTTTTTTTGGTTGTGTCGTGTGTCTGTTGTTTTTTTAAATCTTTTTTTCTCTCTCTTTTTGATGTGGTGTGAAATGTGGGTAGAGGTTTAGGGGGTAATGGGGCAAATTTTTTTCTTTTATTTTTAAAATAATATAATATAATATAATAAAATAAATATTATTTAGTTATTTTTTAAACTAACAAAAATTGAGTGGCAAATAATAAATTATAAATAAGAAATACTATTTTATTTATTAAACTAAAAATAAAAAATAAAACATATCTTTTTTTTGTTATTTTTAAATCTTTTAAAATAAACTCACTAAAATAGGATGAAATTAAAATATTTAATTTAGACATAAAAGAAACATTTAAGGAATAAGAAAAAGTGTAAAACCTTATGTTCGATCAAAAATTACGTGTCTACAGTATCAAGTATTAGTTTCGTACATTACATTCACAAACATGTATTATGGATACATAATAAGCATATACATATAATTATGTGTATCTAAATATGAAATGTAACTGAAACACACAAATTTAGGAAAAATCACGATGGTAAAGTATTTGTTTATCATTAATCCAAAAAAAAAGGATTTTTTTTTCAAAATTTTTCCCTTTTTAGCATCTGAATTTTTTTCTCATAGATACATATAATCTTAAGTCAGATACATGAACTCTTAACTAGATAGATACATGTACACATGATTTGTATCCAACATTGTTGCATATCCAATGGTGTATTTGTTCTGTTACTTAAAACTTGACGTAATTCTTTCATATTGATCCTATACTTAGATCTTTTCTCGGCTTGAATGTTGATGGATGGAGAGTCAGTCCCTGCAATGAGAAATTAATGAGTAAAAATAAACAAATAAAAGTTGTCTTATTTAGTATAATATTGTTAATGTGTAGTACCTTTAACAAGAATCGTTCGATTTTAAGAATAGTCAGCCATTAAAATGTTAGAGAAACAACAAAATAAAAAAATATATAACCTAATTTGTAAAACTTTTTTATTTTGAACTTAAGAACATTATGAATTGTAACTCAGATACAAAATCAAGATACATGAAAATAATAAAACAATAAAAACAAACCTATATTAAAATACTGATTTGAACATGCAAACATGTATTGAGAGAATGAAGAAATAAATTAAAGAGGGAGAAGAAGAAGAAAGAAAGTGGGATGCTGGACATGGGGGTGGGGAACGACCGGCGGCAGATCAGAATAGAAAAATTTAACTTGTTAATGAACATTAATTAAGAAGTTTAAATTTAAGATAATTATTCAATTTTAAATTTAAGATAATTATCCAATACCATATTTAAGGAATTTGTGTATCTTAATACATCTTTTAACATACATGGTATAAATACTAAAAGTGGTAATATGTGTAATTATTTTAAACTAGAGGTAAATATAGTATATTTGGTAGTATGTATGTGTGGTTATGTAGTTTTTCCTTTTAAAAATGAAGAAAAATTCCCAAAAAAATCATAAAAAAGATAAATAAAAATTCAGGCTTTAGAGAGCGTCACCTCACCGTTTTCATGTTTCTGCTTATATATATATATAAACTATAGGAATCACACACTGTGGGATATAAATTACATCCTATTCCTATTAGTTTCCATTTTACAGAAATCCCTTAAAATAAGAGGGATCCGGATACATAAGTGGTGGCCGGATACATAATTTCTGATACATTCAAATCTGGTGTTGTTGCGCTTAAAAAGTAAAAAATAATGTAAATTTTATTTTAATTAATTTCAATCCCAGAAATCACGCCTAACAAGTTGTAAACAATCTATCCAATACCTAACAGATTCAAAAATTTGAAATTTGAAATTCACAACTTCTCCATCGAGGAACCATATTGCCGAAAAAGTTCTAAATTCAAATAACTCAAAAAAATAGATGAATATATCGATTTTGTTGAGGTTGGGTGAGCGAGGTGATTTATGAATGTTACAAATGGAATTGTCGACAATCTATTTCATTTATGAGTCTGAAGCGGCAAGATTGTAGTAGTATCCTGAGCTGAGAGGACTCAAAAACTTAGCGAAGATGGTGAAAGTTGCGACGTTCTTTGCTATGTCTGTAGGAGCCTTCGCTTTCTGGCAAATCATGGACAAAATCTATGTCTGGATCGCTCTTCATCAGGATGAGAAGCAAGAGAGAATGGAGAAGGAAGCAGAAATCAGAAGAATGAGAGCAGAGCTAATCAGAGAAAACAAAGAGCGGGAGTCTCTTGCCTAAGCTATCAAGAATTGCAAACCTAGTTGTATTCAATTCAACAATTTGTTTTTGCTGTCTTTTTGAATGTTTCAAGATTTCTGCTTCTATTTCTAATTTCCATAAAAATCATGTAATGATGGTCATGAATATCTTCACTATACTTAAGTTTGGATTTCTCTCAGTACTCTGCTGTCAATAGCATGATTATGCTTGCACTGTTAAACATGTAGCTACTTTTAATCTGACAATGTGGATGGAGTACGAAGGCTTCGTGCAAGCATTAGCAAAAACCTATGAGGTTCCAATGTGTACTGTTAATATAAAGTATCAGATATATGTGAATTTCTTTTTTTGATTTTTGAATTTGTATATGCATATATAAATCATGATAGATTTCAACTTGATTCAATTCTAGTTTGATGTGTATGTAATGGATTTTTATAATGTGAGTCAGTGTGTTGTTACTATAACGTATTAGATACATATGATTTTTTTTTATGTATCAATATATGAATTTCTTTATCAATATATGAAGGTATGTATCAATATACAAACTATCGTGTATCTGGAGTTAGTTATCATTAGGTGTTGAAATGTATTAGTAGCTAACTAAAACTAATGAGAAGAAATAATATTGTGTGTTTATGCATTTATGAATCTGATACTTAATTTTATTCAAATTTTGTATCAGTTTATATAAGACAAATGTGTAGGACAATCCATACTGTAAATAACAACTAACAATAATGAAAGTTAAATTCAAAATAAATAACCTTTTAGAGAAACACTCTAAACCTTAAGTACGAGTATCTTAAAACAATAAAAACAAAAAACTCTAAAACTAGAGTTAATGTATCTCAAAAGCAATTACACTATAAAAAAAAGTGTCTAAGAACTCATAGATAATCTCCATTCAACATTAACCAAATCGTCTTGAGTTGGTGCTGTGAATTGACTCTTACGCCTTAGTTGATATTTAATGATAACAAATAGTAACTGATACTCAATACCAAATGATATTGTATACAATCTAACAAATATTTAAATCTGATACAAAATGTAACATCATATATTCATAATATGATATTTAAGTATCACGTGTTCAACTATTTTCGACTATGATACATTGTTTTGCAATTTGCACCCATCATATAGTTTGAATTTTAGTCTTTGATACATTGATCATAAATATAAAAAAATGGACCAAAATTAGGGTTTTATTTGTAACAAATAGTAACTGATACTCAATACCAAATGATGTTGTATATAATCTGACATTTATTTGAATCTGATACAAAATGTAAGATCATATACTCATTAAATGTTATTTAAGTATCATATGTTCAACTATTTTAGATTATGATACATTGTTATGAATATTACATCCCATCATATAATTTAAACTTTAACCTTTGATACATTAATCATAATATATCAACAAAATAGACGAAAATTTAGGGTTTTATGTGTAAAAGCAGTAGATTTAAAACAAGATACATCACAAATTTAAAGCAACTAATAAGAGGGGAAGACAGAAATTTAAAACAAAGAAATAGATACTAAATAAACTGATATATTTGAATATCTTGATATAAATGTATCAGTCGAATACATTGATACAAAAGTATATCAACAAATAAATACATTTGATTACTTTGATACAAGAAGTACAATAGTGAATTGATACCCTTAAATATATTGATACAAATAACTTATAATGAAAAAATACACAAAAACTTCACCAAAAACACCAAAAATACATCCCGATCTAAAAAAAAACTCATTTGATTCCACAAAATAATAAAATACACACCCATCATTAGAATATTATGGTACAACGAAGATGATGGAGGAAGAAGAGGTTGAAAACAACAATGGCCGAAGAGGAACCATGACGAGATTAACTCAAAAAAATACAAACCAAAAAAAAAGTTACTTAATTGTGAGAAAATTTGAATCGTTGGAGATTCACATTAAGAATCGAAATCGATTTGAAAAAGTTACTAAATGAAGGAGCCTGATCCATATGTATCAAGAACAAAACTGAACAATTTTTTTTGAAGAAGACGACAATGGAGAAGACAATCCCTACCTATTCAGATGTTTGAAATAAAATGACTGGAGAGAGAATCTTTTTGAAAATCAAATTGATTTGAAAATTGTAACTACTAAGAATGTGGAGTGAATTTAGGGAGAGAAAAAAGGAGTGAAAGAGGAGTGGTAAACATGGGTTTGGCTAGTGGATTTTATGTATCCGAATTTTTTAGGAATTGGGAGAAATAAGAGATTTGTGAAATATGTTAAAAGGGTAGGGATAAATGGAGAATAAGGTAAGTTAATGTGTGTATATAAGTAATTTTCCTTTATTAATGTATTTGTTATATGTATCTAGTATTAATTTCATGTATCTATTTAGATAATCTAATTTTAATTTCATGTATCTTTTATATGTATCTAGTATTAATTTGATGTAATAAAGGCGTTTACTGTCTGTTCTTGATTCAACACACTTCCACTGTACAATTTATCTTTCTTGGGCGAAACGGGGGATATCTCGATCGGGGGAGAGAACGGGGAAATACCATCAAGTATTAGTTTCATACATTACATTCAAAAACATGTATTACGGATACATAATAAGCATATACATAAAATTATGTGTATCTAAATATGAAATATAACTGAAACGCACAAATTTAGGAAAAATCACGATGGTAGAGTATCTGTTTATCATTAATCCAAAAAAATGGAAAAAAATTTTCAAAATTCTTTCCTTTTTAACATCTGAAATTTTTTCTCATAGATACATATAATATTAAGTCAGATACATGAACTCTTAACTAGATACATATACACATGATTTGTATCCAAAATGTAACATCATATATTCATAATATGATATTTAAGTATCATGTGTTCAACTATTTTCGACTATGATACATTGTTTTGCAGTTTACACCCATCATATAATTTGAACTTTAGTCTTTGATACATTGATCATAAATATAAAAAAATAAACCAAATTTAGGGTTTTATTTGTAACGAATAGTAACTGATACTCAATACCAAATGATGTTGTGTATAATCTGACATTTATTTGAATCTGATACAAAATGTAAGATCATATATTCATTAAACGTTATTTAAGTATCATATGTTCAACTATTTTAGATTATGATACATTGTTATGAATATTACATCCCATCACATAATTTGAACTTTAACCTTTGATAAATTAATCATAATATATCAACAAAATAGACCAAATTTAGGATTTTATGTGTAAAAGCAGTAGATTTAAAACAATATACATCACAAATTAAAAGCAACTAATAACAGGGGAAGACAGAAATTTTAAACAAAGAAATATATACTAAATGAACTGATATTTTTGAATATCTTGATATAAATGTATCAGTCGAATACATTGATACAAAAGTATATCAACAAATAAATACATTTGATTACTTTGATACAAGAAGTACAATAGTGAATTGATACCCTTAAATATATTGATAGAAATATCTTGTAATGAAAAAATACACAAAAATTTCACCAAAAACACCAAAAATACATCCCGATCTAAAAAAAACTCATTTGATCTCATAGAAAAAGAAAATACACATCCATCGTTAGAATATTATGGAACAACGAAGATGATGGAGGAAGAAGAGGTTGAAAACAACAATGGCCGAAGAGGAACCATGACGAGATTAACTCAAAAAAATACAAAAAAAAAAAGTTACTTAATTATGAGAAATTCTGAATCGTTGGAGATTCACATTAAGAATCGAAATCGATTTGAAAAAGTTACTAAATGAAGGAGCCTGATCCATATGTATCAAGAACAAAACTGAACAATTTTTTTTTGAAGAAGACGACAATGGAGAAGACAATCCCTACCTATTCAGATGTTTGAAATAGATTGACTGGAGAGAGAATCTTTCTGAAAATCAAATTGATTTAAAAATTGTAACTACTAAGAATGTGGAGTGAATTTAGGGAGAAAAAAAAGGAGTGAAAAGAGGAGTGGTAAACATGGGTTTGGCTGGTGGATTTTATGTATCCGAATTTTTTAGGAATTGGAAGAAATAAGGAATTTGTGAAATATTTTAAAAAGGTAGGGATAAATGGAGAATAAGGTAAGTTAATGTGTGTATATAAGTAATTTTTCCTTTATATATGATTTTTTTACAAAAGACTTGTACTCTATTAAGATTTTGGGCTATTTTAGGTCCAAACCATCTTGTATTTCTTTCATTTATTCTCTTTTTAAAATACATATAATATTAATACATAATAATAAAAACTGCCGTTGATTACAGAGTTTGAAAAAATTAATTCACCATTAACTTTTGTTAATACAACCTCATTAATACATAATACATAATAATAATAATTGTCGTTCATTACAGAATTTGAAACAACAATTCACCATTAACTTTTCAAATATGTATTAATGTTGAAGAGAAATGGCCTCTTGATAATTAATCTTTATTAATAGGTATTAATGTTGTATTGTAGTAATTTAGTATGCATTATTGGATATTATAAAAACAGGAGAGACAGATGCATTCAAGCAATTTGTGATTTTCTTCTTATAATGTTTATGATGTGTGTGCAAGGTTACGAAATAAAAAACATATAGTCTCTTCTCCATCACAGTTAGGAGGTGAAGGTTTTGGTTTAAAAGATCCATCACTAAGGCCAGCTGGGGCAGAACGTTTCCTTGTGAGCTCTTTTCGCACTTGAGCAAGTAAGTCCCAATTTGAGTGATTGCCTCAAGTTTGACATCTGATATTGAAGTCTTTCGATCTGTCAGAAAGGCGAATATTTCGATTGAAGACCACGATCCACAATATGTCTAACTGCATATATTTCACAGTTTATAGCCTTAATCTGCAAAAATAAAATAAAAGATAGATTAAACTTGATTTTAGACTTCAGAAGAAGTGATCAATTCATGATGCTATTTGCTAAAAGGGAAGAGAAGACTACATACTTGGGCTTGATAAGAACTATTTCCACAATGAAGTATTCGCTTGGCAATCTGTTTTGAGTGACTTACATAATCCTTCAGGAGCAACACTGGTGAAATCAAG